CCACCAGAGAGGGCCGCAGAGGTTTGTTTTTAACATAGCGAGAGTGAGCCTGCTTAGCGTTTCAGTCCTGGGGTGGGGTGGCCAGTGAATGGGGCAGCAGGAGGGGGTGTGGAGGACCTTGATTCAGTCAATGTTCACTTCCTGCCCTGCTCAGTTCTGTGAGGCACCAGCGATACAAGTGAATGGTTGGATTTTGCTTTTTGTTTTGTCATCAGGGAAGGAGGGATCAAAGCTGAGTGGCTAGTCTGTGCCCTGTGCCTGTCCCTGCCACCATGCTGTGCCTCAGAGGGGCTCCGTTGAGGAAATGCTTCTAGAGAAGCATCGTCTCTAGCCACCCTGTGCCTGTGCAGAGTGTGAGTGGCCTATACTATCAGGAGGGGCCAGTGGGGTCTCTGGCAGATGTAGACCTCTCTGTTTGGAGGGCATCATGACAACGGAGAAGAGAGACCTGAGGAGTTCAGGGGTCCAGGTACTTTGTACTGTTTATGGTTGAAGAGTCACCAGCCAGGTGTTGCAGCCAAAGGTTGTGTATAGGATGAGCAGGCAGGTTCCAGCCTTTATTAGGGTTCTACTAAGAGTACAAAGCATGTATATAGAGCAGAGTGAGGAGTCACTGAGTCACTGTGGAGGCCTTAGAGGTGTGAGTCCGTTATAGGGGGCACGCTTATGATGATGGCATGGGGGTTCATTTTCCCGCCTTTCCTAACTTGGGGGCCATGCAGCTTTGGGACTTGGCCCTGCCCAGCCCTGCTTTTGGTGGACAAAAGTGATTCAGAACCAGAGTAGGTGGTCTTCTGTTATGGGGGCTCACACCAGGCGGCTGCCCCCCATATCCAATGTGTGAGGTCCAGAAACTCTCGGTGGCCGTGGCTGTGACTCTCCAGGGTGTGGGACAAACACGCATATGCCGAGACCCAGGGAGAAGCAGGTTGTGTTTGCTCATTTTCCTCTGGATCCCACCTGGGCTCAGGAGGCAGGGAGGGTGCCCCGTGAAGCTCTAAGTGGTCTGTCTTTGCAGGTATGTTCAGTTCCTCAGTGGACTCCTGTCAGGCACGGTGAAAATGAATGCCTCCCCGCTGTTCCTGCATTTCGTCATCCTTCATGGCACCCCCAACTTCGACACTGGTGGCGGTGAGTGTCTTCCCCCGTCAGAGTCTGGTTGCAGCCCCTTCCCTTGAGCGACGTCCCCTTCCTACATCAGAGGGCCATGCCCAGAGCTGGCCTCAGTCTCCACAGTCCCTGGATGAGCTATTGGCGTGAGGCGAGCGCCTGGCTCATGAGGGACAGGACAGGTGACTAGTGGTGGGGCTGACTGTGGGAATCCCGAGTCCCTTCTGCGGCTGCCCTCCTCTGGACTACTTCCCCACACCACTAAGGCAGCACCTGGGCTTCCCAACTCGGGGCCCCTTTCATCTGTTTGACAAACTCCTCTTGCTGTGCGTTGTCCTCACTGGCGACTCTGCTATCTTCTAGTGTGCCGGCCCTTTCTGAAGCTCTACCAGGCCATGCAGCCCATGTACACGTCGGGGGTCTAGTAAGTACAGCGGCTGGAAAATGGATGTGCCCTGTGTCACCCTTGGGAAGGGGTGGAAGGAGGGGGAGCAGGGAATGCCTGCTGGGAGTGCTTGGCTCCATAAGGGGCACGAACCCTGGATCCTAAAGGAAAGAGGGAGTGCTGGGGAGGTGACCGGGTTGCTGGGGTTTGCCTTTCACTCCACTCTGCAGCAGATAAAGGACAGATCCACATCCTCGGAACTTGAATTTCTGGGCTTTTCTGATTTGCTTTTTGTGTTTGGATAGCAGTTTCTGAGCCTTAGTGGAGAATGAGCAATTTCTGAATTTTCAGTTATAGGCTTGCATATCTTAAAATGTATTTTGTCCACTAAATCATGACATTTCATGACAATCTCTTGTCTGTTTGTTTCGAAGCACGGTTGGCCCGGAAAGTCAAAACAGGATCTACATTGCCATAGAGCCGGCCCAGCTCCTCAAAGGGGATGTCATGGTGAGTGGTCATGGCCTGGTCTTGGTTGTGCCTGCAACCCCAACACACAGAGAAATGATGTCATCTTAAAACAGAAACATCAGATCTCGCCACCGCCCTCTTCACCCCCATAAACAACAACCGTAGGAAGAATGGAAAGGAGCTTGACTAAGGTGGTTGGTTAATTTTGAGTAAAACTGTTTTAGTGAAAGGGACAGACCAAATTGTTAGAGCCACTTGGTATATGCATCCTTGAAGTTGAGTCCTAACTCAGCCACGGTGCTTCTGATGGCTGCCATACCCTAATGTGTAATTGTAACATGAGTATAGGCTTCCTGGGTATAGGTGTAGACCAAAAATATTTATCACTCATCACCAAGGCATGCATTACCACTAGCCTATGGCAGCGCTGTTCATGATCCAAGCAGTGATTTCTCCGTATCATTTTGCTTCTTGGGTGTGTTGGTTCTTGGAAGACATTAGCACTTACATTTTTGCATCTTATCTATCCTGAGGATAGAAAAATTCATGCATCTCATATTATTTAAGAGAAATTTGTCTGAAATAAGAAACTTTGAGCCTTGTGTGTGGCTCCCAGCACACGTAGGGCAGCTTTCCTGCGCTATTTCCTAGCTCAGGGGATCACAATGTGGCGAGAAGAGCCGATGGGTCAGGACTTGACTTTTTGTTTTATTATAAGTGGCTCATCCGGAGTTTGTAAGTGTCTCACTAACTTTGCTAAAAAAAAAAAAAAAAAAAAAAATGGGTTTGAATACCATTTCTGAGTGGCCAACAAACTTGAACTTAAGTCTCACAAAAATCAAGTCTGTGAGGCTCGTGGAGCGAGAGGCCCCGGCACATTCACATCCTTGATGTCCCCGTACAAACTCCTGGGGAGGTCTCTGCCCACCGAGGCCCTCAGTTATGGGTCCCCGTGTCTCTTCAGGAGGCAGGGCCCGAAGCAGGCATGCTGGGGAACAAGGAGCAGCAAAATGACTGTTTTCAAGGTATCACGCTGAGCCCTTCACAAACATCATGTTCTTCCTTCCTCTCAATGAAGATGAAAGAGTTGGCGGTCTCATTCTGTAGTGAGTTCCTTAGCTGGGGGGTGCTGATGCATTTTCAGAGGCTCATTTTATCAGCCACTCTGGGCACTGCCCCCAGGAAGGACCCATTGGGAAGGCTCAGGCAGGAGGAACACTTCCTGGGCCAGGAGTCTGGGCCTAGCAGACAGCACAAACCAGTCCCCCAGCAAGGGCCCAGAGGGCCATTGTGCTAAGACAGCCTTGAGGGGGTTAGTGTCCTGGAAGATTGAAGCCAGATGTGAGGCCTGGGAAGCTTGTGGTTTTCTTCTGGAACATGTGGTGCCGCTCACAAAGCTCTTCACCATGTCCTGAAAAGTGCACGAGTCCAGCCTCCCTGAGACCAATGCTGCCTGGGGACAGTGCACAGCCGTGACTGCCCTTGGGCCCCCAGGCCTCTTCTTCCACTTGAACAGGGTCTGATGGGCCCACATATCTGCGCTGGAGGTCCCTCTGCTTAATGAAGCCTGCATGCGTGGGCAGCGGGGGTGGGGGGGCAACACCGGCTGGGGTGCATTATAGGCCACACAGATGCGAGCAGATTGAGTGTAGCTTGTCCTGGGGTGGCCACCTCCTCTTCTGGAATGAACCCTCCCCCCACCTCCTAGGTCCCTACCCATGTGCCTCACCACTGTCCCACCCTGTGGCGAGCACTGTCTTGGGTACAGGGTCAGAGTAAACACCACGTGTACCGGTGAACTGGAATGTGGTTTGAGCAGGCGATGTGGGGGTCAGTGAGAGGTGACTCGGGTGGGAGGCGTCAGTGTAGCTGCCTAACAGGGAGGTGGTCAGGAATGGGGTGGGGCGGCGGAGAGGAGCCGTGAGTGGGTGAAGGCCGTGCTTAGGACGTGCTGGGACTTGGCCCCTGCATGCCAATGCCAGAGCAGCCCCTTGGCAGGCAGCGAGCTTGTTGGAGCTGCATGCTATGCAGGCAGGAAGACACAGGCCTGTGTGTTTGGGACTCTGCTACCTGCGTTGTCTGTGGATGAAAGATTCCGCCTCAGGGCACCCACAGCCACATGAAAGGCGCTGTCACCTTGTGTAGGTGGCGTGCAGTGATCTTCATTATGTTCATAAGTGGTTTTGATCTGCTGACAACTCAGGCAGCAAATTGGGGCATCCCGTGTTCCCTGTGGTTCTCTTTGGTAGGAAGCTTGACAGGCCACAATTTGGTCATTCTCAGAAACTACTGGTCCTGACTCAGATGTGTAAGTCTGTGTAGTGCTGGGCAAAGCTGTTTCCAAGCTCAAGCTATAGATGGAAGAGCCAGGTTCATGAGCATTTTGGGGGTGCCTGTCAGATCCTCGTGGAGGGTGAGTTGATTAGCTAGGAGAGGTAGACCTGGAAGGGTTGGGTTTGAGGACAGGGGACAAGGCCTGGAGCCTGGCAAGTGAGCGTGCTAGGGTGTTGTGTGAAAACCCCTTTTATCGTGCTGGGGAGCCCATGATGTCCAGAGCAGGGCCTTGAGACTTTGTGTGCCCAGCCTCCAAACAGGGCCTTCAAAGGGGAGAGGGCACCCCATAGTCACAGAAGAGTGGGCCTTAGAAGCAGTGAGGAGAGTAACCCAGCACTGATGCTGGAGACTGCTGAGCAGCTGAGTTGGGGGTGGTGAAATGTGGCTAGCAGTAGGCTGTCGGGACCCCCAACCCTTAGGGATTGGCACATCTCTTAGATGCACCCTTTGTATGACGGGGAGACCCAGATGCTAGGTGAGGGCTCAGGTAAAACAGGGGCCACTGTGGGAATTCACTAGAAATCTGAATCTATGAGTCCAGAGTCTTCCAGAGGGGCCCTGCATTGAACGTGAGAGGTGGGCATTGTGCTGGTGGCTGGTGTGGGCCCCCAAGCACAGAGACGACTCAGTATTTGTCTTCTTGGTGGTCTGGCAACGTAGTTCTCCACCTGCCTGCTCCCCCAAGGCCTCACTGGGTGATCTCTGCTTGTGCCTCTCTGCTTTATTTCTTTTCTTTCTTTCTTTTTTTAATCAACTACTTTTTTTTTTTTTTTTTAAGATTTATTTATTTATTCATACAGAACTGGGTACAGGCCAGAGATGTGGAGGGTGAGAGGATTCACCAGAGACAAAGAGGGGAGCAGAACAGGCAGATCAATGAAGTACACTGCTGAGGGGAGCAGCGGGCGGGTCAGGAGAGGTCTGCCACGCCATGTGGATCTCTTCCGGGGCAGGCGGGGATCGAACTCATGCAAAAGTGGCTTAAGCTTCTTAGTGCAGTGCTTTAACCCGCTGTGCCACCAGGGTGGACCCTATTTCTTTTTTTTTCTTTTTTTTAAACATTTTGTTGGGGTATATGCCAGAGTGTGGGGGCTTGAGAGTGGGGCACAGGCAAATACTGAATTAGACTGCTGAGGGGAGGAACGGGAGAGACAGGAGAGGTCAGTGCCCTGGCTGGGAACCGAACTCAGGCTGTAGTGGTGATAGCTCTGAGACTTAACCCCTCGGCCACTGAGAGGTCCTCCTGCTTTCTTGTCAGGATTTAAGGAAAGGGTGTTTATATGCCCAGCCTCAGCTTGTCCCTCCTTTCTCGCCCTTTAGCCTGGTTCCATTAGACTTTATCATGGTGGTCTTTTCCATGGCATTGTCTATCATGCATCCTTCTGGACCTTTCTCTTCCATTGGCTCCCTGGCGAAGGCCCTTCCTCCTCTGGCCCTCCCTCATTACCTTGCTGTTCCCTGGCACTATCTTTGAGATGATATTCCTTGGAGGTTCCATATGCCCTGAGCTCGCTACCTGTGAACTGCTCTGAGTTCAGTTTATACTTTGTGATGCCTTGTGCTGCCCTCACATTTCCTTCCTGCTGATTTTAGGCGGTACTTAGCCCTTCCTCACCCCCACACAGGAGTCTCTCCCAGTTAGCATCTCCTCTGCTTCCCACATCCTGCGGTCTTGTCGATTCCCCACATGGATGCATCCTGAGTCTCACCACCACACACTCTTTCCCTCCTCCTCTAGGGTCACATCGGTTGTCCCCCAAACTATGCCTCTTACACTGTGACCGAGGTGTACAGCTGAGCACGATGCTCCTGGCCAGCCTCTTCCCCGCAGTGAGGCACAGAGTCTGATCTCCTCTAAGGGGAACAGACCCCTGTTTCCCACCTGCCCCTCAGTCATTAGCCCCAGACATTCTGTTATCCTGTTGACATCTGTACGAGTCCCAGTTCTCTTTACTCACTGCCGTGTGATAGTGGCCAGTGGCCATGTCCTCCTCTACGCCATGCGCCTCCTTGTCCTACCACAGGGTGGAGAGCCTGGGGTTGACGCAAGGCCCACTCTGCTCCCTACAAGCTGGCCTAGCTGAGTCTTCACTGGATAGTCTAGAGTCTGTGTTGGGGGTCGCTGGCCTCCTGGGTGAGAGGGACAGCTGCTGATGTATGTTCCCCTCCATCCACTTCATACCAGATGTGAACATGGGCGCGAGAGCGCTCTGGGGTTCAGCCACCCTGTTGCTGGGTCTCTGGCTGAGTATTTCTCGCCATGAAGGCACCTGTGTGTGAATTTTGCTTCCATTAGCAATTTGAGCAAATTGGATCTCCAGGATTTTGCACAGGAGATGCTTGCCTTGCTGAAACTCTCCCCTTCCTGATCCTTTCTGTGTTCCTAACACAGAGTATTTTTAGAATTGTATTATTCCTTGATTTATATTTCCTGTACTTAAGATTCATTTTGTGCACTCTGCACTTATTTTCTCAGTGCTGTCAGATGGGAGGAGGAAGATAAGGGCAATATCTCAGAAGGGGTATTTTTCCATCACAGAGGGTAAGTTTTACTTGCGTCATTCATAGAAATGATTACCTAAAGGGTTTGTAGCTCAGTTATCTATCTCTAAGAAGCCTAAAAGTACTCGTAATTCGTGTGTTTGTTTCCATGTACTGCCATAAAATCCCACAGACTTTAAACAGCAGAAATGCATTTCCTCATG